TTTTTTTTTTTTTTTTTTTTTTTTTTCTTCCTCATCAACTGAGACAACTCGAGCTGTGAACTTTTTTTTTTTTTTCCCCCATAAACTTTTTAACTGCTTTCATCTTTTCTGCTTTTCCCAATTTTGTCATCCCAGTTGAGGTAGTTTTTTTCTCATCGTGCAACACTTTTATGTGTGCCTTTCTCCAACACTTTTTTTTTTTTTTTTTTTTTTTTTTTTTTTTCTTTTCTCGTCTCCGTGTCGTTCCCCCCTTTGGCAGAAGTGTTCCTGTCGCAAAAGAACAAAATAAAATAAAATAATTTCGCCAGACGGTGGAATCAGCAAGGCTGTATCCCCTCCGTGTACATTTCAAAAATGCTGCTCATAAACAGCTACCCAGTATAATACCATTATGTACTGCTCTATTTTTTTTTTTTTTTTTTATGTTTTTACCAGAGGAACGCAAAATTGTGGCGTAGAAACAAAAAAAAAAAAAGTCCCTTTTACTGCTTTTTTCTTTTTGGCTTGCTTCGCTGCACTTCCTTCAAGGTGTGTACACCATCCTGTGTGAAAAGCACACCCCGCCTCCTCTTTTCTCCCATTCGTGTAGTGGGTCACCGGAAAGGTTATCGTTTAGCGAACGGACAGACACGTATACGTGCACGTGTGTGAGAGGATTTAAAAGGCAAAGTGAAATATTGTCTCGCCGAGTTGGTTGGTCAGTCACGCGACGGATGGCTAATCAACCCTGCAGGATGCTTAACCCTTAACGTATAAGCTGTTCTCCCTTTTTTTTTTTTTTTTTGACCATGTGTCATCTCACTAAGTAGTAGTCTGCCCCTTCTTCCTGTCACCACAAAAGGGGATTCATTGCTTTGCGTCTGTTCCGTTTCGCTGGGGTGACCCCTCGGACCCGTAAAGCGGTTACCAACTAAGGATGCAAATCGTGTTGATCTGCAACACCTTTTCCATTTCATACTTTTGAACCTTTAAACTGTTCTCGTTAGAGGGAGCTAAGCAGATTGGAAGCTTGCTCAGGGTTTTCTCCTCTGGGTGGGGGGCGTTGTTTCTTCATTTCGTTAAGTTTAAGAATGGGCAAAGCGAAAAAGGGGAGGAGAGGGGAAGACCGAGGACACGTCACAGTTGCTTGCAAAATGGTGAGGACGTACGTCGTCTATGCCCACTTGGGGGCTTTCCCACTCAGGACACCCCTCTGTGCTGCTCCGTTGAAAGCGCTAGGGGGAAAAGCGTTTGCAGGGGGACGTACACTCACATATTCGGTTAGCTCGCCCAATGGGGGGAAAAATGCGCAAATCTGTTTTCGCAAACGGAGCGGCTGCACAAATGGTATTATGCGCAGTGGGGACGGGTAGTAGCCTCCTCACCATGACACTTCTTTCGTGAATCCACTCATGCACGCAATTCTGTTACCTGCACAAGGCGACTTCCATATGCGTAGTACGTTTTTTTTTTGTTTCACTTCCCCGGAACTTTATACATACAAAAGATGTAATACCTCTGTGAGATGTTTTTTTTTTTTTTTATTTTTTTCTTCTTTCCTCCCCCCTGTTGATACACACTTGTAATGATCTGGGTGGGGGGCGTTGTTTCTTCATTTCGTTAAGTTTAAGAATGGGCAAAGCGAAAAAGGGGAGGAGAGGGGAAGACCGAGGACACGTCACAGTTGCTTGCAAAATGGTGAGGACGTACGTCGTCTATGCCCACTTGGGGGCTTTCCCACTCAGGACACCCCTCTGTGCTGCTCCGTTGAAAGCGCTAGGGGGAAAAGCGTTTGCAGGGGGACGTACACTCACATATTCGGTTAGCTCGCCCAATGGGGGGAAAAATGCGCAAATCTGTTTTCGCAAACGGAGCGGCTGCACAAATGGTATTATGCGCAGTGGGGACGGGTAGTAGCCTCCTCACCATGACACTTCTTTCGTGAATCCACTCATGCACGCAATTCTGTTACCTGCACAAGGCGACTTCCATATGCGTAGTACGTTTTTTTTTTGTTTCACTTCCCCGGAACTTTATACATACAAAAGATGTAATACCTCTGTGAGATGTTTTTTTTTTTTTTTTATTTTTTTCTTCTTTCCTCCCCCCTGTTGATACACACTTGTAATGATGGGAAGTTGCACGGGGGTCGTTTTTCTCGCCCCAGAAAAATTAGCTAATCTTGGGAGTGTAAATTTATTACTTTTTTTTTTTTTTTTTTTCTTTTTTTTTTTGGTAAAAACGCCTGACTTGTTCATACGGAATTTATCCTTCCCCCTTTTGTCCGTCCTTCGTGAAGAGTACGAGTGTGGGTAGGGTGACATTGATGAAAGAGTTTCCTCACGCAGACGTATGCACACCCCCGCGTGCCGCAAAGGTATGCGGGAAAGGGGGGAACAAAAAAGGACGTGGCAAAAGCAATTTCCTTAGTCCGTTTTTCCCCCCCCTTCTCCTCGTCCGATTTCCCCCCATTCCCTGGTCGGGGCGAAGCAGCGCGTGGCACAAGTAACTGCGCAGCAGAGTGTAGCACGCGGCGCAAATTAAAAAAAAAATATATATATATATAATAACGCAACCGCGCCCCTCCACACGGCGCACGCCAACACAAAGCAAAGCGAAAAAAAAAGAAGTGTAAAAACCACTTGAATGTGGAGTCCAATTATTTTTTTTTTTTTCGAATAAAGAGGCAAACACACTTGCGTTTTCCTCCCCAGTTGTTGTTGCCCCAATTTTTCCACCACCCATCCGCACACACATAAAAACCAGACAAAAAAAAAAAAAAAAAAAAAAAAAAAAAAAAAAAAAAAAAAAACCTGCACAACGCAGCAATGAAGATACAGTATCACCTGTTGCTGTTGACGTTCCTCCTGTCGGAAGACGTACTTTGTAATAACAGCGGTTATGAAGATGTAAAGGGTATCTCCGCGGAAGTGAAGAAGGGGAGTGGTGGTGCTGGAAGTGATTACCTGGCCACTGGTGGAAAAAAGGCGTTATGGCCATGGAATGGAAACGACAAAAAAGGACATGAAAACAAGAGTAGCAAAGACGAGGACGGACTCCTGTCCTCGCTACTCGGCTCAGTCAAACGATTGCTCCCTTTTAATGAAAAAGGAATTCAAAACAATGTCCAAGGGATCAGTGACAATGTAGTAGACATGAAAGATGCAATGATAAAAAATTCTTCCAACTTGGTTAAACATGCAAATAAATTAAAAGAAGAAATACAAAAAAACACAGCCTACTGGGCCAACGTGGTTAAAACGACTGTGAGTGAGGAGCTCCATCACATTGACCAATTCAGCAAGGAGCAGTTAGACAAACTAAAAAAGGATCCTGAACATAAAAATTTTTTCACCAAACTGTTCAGCGGGGATAGTGCGGCGGCCGATGTGTCCTCCGTGTCTTCCTCCTCCGCCTCTAACAAGGAGACGGAAATGAAAAATGCACAAGGTGCTGTTGGGTCCAAGGCACCACCTGGACATGACGACGCTGAGGTGGAGAATGAAGAAAAAGCGAAATCGTTTTGGGATTTCCTGCACACAGGGGCAGGTGGTAATGCATCCCCTGCAACAGATGAGAAGGAACCCAGTACAGGCTTCCTACGTATGTTTAAGACAGACAAAAATAAACCCAGTAGCGTCACACACAATAAGGAGTCCTTCTCGTGGTTTTCTACACACTCTTCTGAGGATGGATCAGCCACACAACAGAATCATCCCGATAATGAAAAGGAGAAGAAGCAAGGATTTACTTTTAACATTTTCAACAGTAAGGATAGCAGTCAGGAGTCCCGTTCTGTGCCCCACTCAAATACAAATGATAAAGGAATTTTTACTCAGTGGTTCAATCCTCCCACCGCTAAGGGAACAAACAAGGATGAGCACTTGCCGCAGAAAGAACAATCGGGGGGAATGACACAGGACTCGGTTAATGACTCTCAACATGTAGAAGTGCACGAGGGGGAAAAACAAAAAAAAAACTTCTCCCTCCTCAACATGTGGAAGGCCACACATAAAGAGAAAGACGCAGAGGAACAGAACAACGGCGAAGTGGACACGGACGTAGGAAGCAACATGAGTCAGGTGACCGAGGGGGAGGGCAGCGATGAAGAAAGTACAAAGGGAGGAAGTTTCTTTTTTAACCCTTTTGAAGGTTTAGGGTTCAAGTCCAAGGGCGAATCATCTCACACTAAAGACACAGCTCCGGGAAAAACAAATATCGCAGAAGGAATGTCACACGCAGATTTAAGCAAAGGGAATAATTACCTGGTGGACCTCATGAAGAATGTTTACGAGGGAAAGAATGATGAAACAGGTGAACAGGCGCAACAAATATTATCCTTTATGCATACGAAGCATGAACACGATGCTAATACCAACTGCCACCCATTAGTATCCTTCAAGGTATGTCTGAACACATGCTTCAATGTACCTTCAGCAATGGAAGGAGGAAGCAGCGATGGGTCTAATGAACACAAGAAGAAAAATTTATCCGCTGGTGATTATAAAAAGCTAGAAGCATGTATCCTGAAATGCAAAAATACAAATTTGAGTGAGCAAGCTCCGGGGTGCGCAAACAAAGATGGTTCCGTTACCACTAGTGATAAAACAAATTACGAAGAAAAAATAAAGAATTTGAAACAGAATAATTATACATTGGGGGAACAGTCCTCTGTGTTCTCCGATTTGACCACACATGATAAATATGCGGAAGGGGAGACGCCCTCACATAAGTCCAGCTGGGTCATGGGTGCTTCTGGAACAGATAACGCTGGGGATGAAACAGAGGTGCAAAATGGTTCTCGTACATTTCCCACACTGGCTGATGGTAAGCTCGGAGCTCACTTGTACAGTGTGGATTCTAGCAACACGGGTGGTCATAACAAGGAACCCACCACTGACGGGAACAAGCACAGCATGGTTGGCGAGAACTCTTTTAGCTTCTTTAAAGCCTTTGCACCCCAAACGGGTTCTACGTCTGATGGTGTGAACACCCACGGGGCAACCAATCCGTTGGGTGCACCTCATAATGACAATAATAACAAGGCGGGCACAGAAGGCGCAGCGGCCAATTTAACTGCGGCAGGTGTGCACGGGGAGGACCTTGAAGGGGCAATACATGGTAGTGGCAGTGGTGGGGGTAGCGGTGATGGGGACACTGATGATGAGGACGACTGGAACGACTTCAGTTACATATCGCAGGCATTATTCCTGCTCCTCCTGCTGGTCACCTTCTTTGTCTACCTCTCCGCCTTCACCAACATAATCACCCAATTCTATGTGTCGTTCAAGGAGAAGGTGTGCCTTTACATAAAGGGGCAGTATAGGTCCCCGTTCGACCAGGCACATGGAGAATCCGCCGAGGCCTTCTTGCCCAAGGGGCTCCATTCCTACGGCAACGCCAGCGTCCATGGCTCCTACGACAACTTGTACCACGCCTTCCACGAGAACTCATGCGAAATGATTTGAGCGGTTATCGGTTCGCGAGGGAGCGAATGAGCGGCTAATGGGGGTAAGCTGCTGCGCTGCCGTGCTGCCATGCCCCGTTTGGCCCTTCCCTCCACGATGAATTAAAATATGAATTCTTACCATCCAGCCAATTTCCCCCCAAACACAACACCCACAAATTTTTGTTTTTTAAATCCTCCTCCTCCGCCCCTTCTCTGTGTGATTATAAATGTTTTTTTTTCCCCACCTTTTATAAAGATGCCTCAAATATGTTTACACTCTTCTCCACTCCTCGCTGGAACGACAGAATGAATAGAAGAAAAGAAAAAAAAAAAAAAGTGAAACAATTCCGCCCTCTACCCCCTGTGGCCATGTGATTCGGATTGTCCTAGTAGAAAAGGAGAGAGGAAGCGTTGTTTTATAAGATGTGCTGGGCGCCTCATATGGGTTTTATTTTTTAATGTCCTGTTGTGCATTGTAATGAGGCCCCAAATGGTACACGGGGTGGAGTTGAAAAAAGAAGAAACCACCCATCGACGCCCATTTTACTGGTCAGTGTTGTTGGGGTACACGTTGTTTTGCTCCTCTGGAGAGCGTCTCCGCCTCAGTGGTTGCCGCGCGCGCATGCGTCACCTTAAGTGAAGGCCACTTGAGCAGAGATATGCGCATACGACACAGCACAAAAGCGGCCTTCATTATGCATGTATAAAAAAAAAAACGGGCCCTGCAAATTGTGAGAGGTGCAC